ATCTGGGGCTACTGTTCTTCTCTGGTCCAGATTATTAAAAAAAAGTTAATCCCCCCCACACACCACCACCACCATACTTGTGTCTTTTAGATCACAATGAGACAAGAATTTGAGAACATGAAGAGTGGGAGGCTCAGGGTCTCACTGCCCTTCATTCCTTTCCAGTCACATCACTCAGCACCTAGATAGTCTCAGCCCGTTTCCTGCCCTCTACTGTGAGCAGTGTGGTTTCATCATTAGTAAACAAAGGTCCTGCTCAGAGTTCATGTTTCCATCTCAGATTGAGAAGTGGGTGACCCAGGGCTGCTGCTYGCTGCCTACATCTGGATTCCCATGGAACATGCTGCACTATTATTGTCATCTAGGAGGCCAGAGGCTGTGTAGGGCCTTTCATACTTTCTGTACTTCTTAAATCTTAGTTAGGGTAAAAGACAGTCATGCTTCTATACACTTACTGGAGATAGAAAAAGGCATTTTTTTCTAGTATATTTGTAACTTTGCCCAGGATAGAAATTGGGTTGAATCTGAGTTAATGCTTCCCTTTTGTCTCCTGTGGCTTATAAAGAGACAGGTTTCTCCCCTAATCCACGTCCATCAAAAGTATCAAAAAACAAGCGAGAAGCCTGCATGCTGGACAGAAGGCCAGGGTAGATGTGAAGCAGGCACCCAACCCTGGAGGATCATCTTTGGTTATGTTCAGCTCCTCCTGAGAGAAGGAAATTCATTCCCAGGAGAGGACAACGAGACTTACAGTGTTCTTGACTTGGTTGCCCTGCTAGAAGGTGACAGAGAGGGTCTTTGTATTCGGGGATGTCTGTATCTGAAGCCAGGACTTTTCCACTGCAGCTGGACGAGTTCCTTTAGGACCAAGGAACTTGGGTACTTCTCCTGACTCCACCTATATGGGAGGGTAAGTCCTGCCAACAGCAGGGCTAGCCCTGTGTCTATTGGTACAGAGCATCAACAGGCCTTGTTTAGAAGGCCAGTACTGAGCATGCCTCTATTCCAGCAGGCCCACAAATCCCAGGCATCACTAAAGTCGAGTGTATTGGCAGTCCTCACCTCTGAGTCAGACGCCAAATCTAAGAAAGCTCCTGATCTATTGCAGGTGGCCAACTTGGGTCACATGGCTTCTGTWTTAGGAAGACTTCAAGAGTAAGTAACATCATTGCCAGACTGGGGGCCAGGCATGATCAGCAAAACCTGGGCCAGAGACGCACCAGCTCATTTCTATTATTAGAAAGAGAAATCATAACTTTTAATCTTGTAAATTAGATAGCCACATGAGGCTGTTGAGAAGATCTGTGCGAACCTCAGATTTCCAGGCTAAGGGCTACTAGTCAGCCTGTCAGAGGTGGGGAGGAGAGGGGCCTCTGCACCTGAAGGCCAAGGGTCAAGGCACTTCATTATGTCTGGTTAATTTGGATCACCCATGACTGACCCAGGCTCTATGCTTCATTTGTTGTGTTACCACAGGCAAGTTGAGAATCTCTTTAGGTCTCCACTTCTTCATTTAGAAAATGAAATGGGGCAAGGGCATGATTTGTTTCCCTCATTTCTGTGATCTTTTCAGATTTTATCTCTTTAAGATGCTTAATTTAATGGATATCTCAATTAAGAGGTATAAGAATAATAAGTTGCACTTTATGATTTTTTGCTTTCCTCTGGGTTTATCATCTCTTAAATATGCTCCTTCAGGTATGAAAAAATGACAACCAAGCTCTATTTTTGAGTACGTCACTTTCCTAGGACCCTGTAAAATTACATTTGAAGCAACTCTTCAGTCATATAACTTCTTTTTCTGCTGAAATTATGTTACTGTCCATTAGTATTTTACATTTTATGATGGAAAATTTGAAACATATGCAAGATAATTGTATAATGAGCCCCCATGGACTCAACCAGCCTCAATAAATATGCACATTTTGTCAATCTTGGTTTTTTTGCCTTCCCCCACCCCAGGAACACTTTTGGCAGAGGAGAATACTGGAATATTTAAAGCAAATCTCAGAAATCATTTCATTTGTGTTTCTAACAGAGGAAGTCCTCCTTTTTGTAAAATGTAGCTATAATAGCTACACCTACCCAAATTAACAGTAATATCATTGTTATTATACCCACCCAAATTAATGATGCAGAAGTTCTTTGAATTTTGGCAAATTGAGTAGGGAATGGGGATTAAGATGAAGGAGCTCTAGTTTGGATTTAGTCCTTTCTTCCAGAAAAAAAAAAAAGTTGGAATTCACTCATTGAGGAGGATCCTAGGGTTTTAGCTGGTAGTGGGCCCACTCCTACACAATTCTGAAAGAAATGTGGGAAAGACCTGTCTGTTCAGAGTAACAGATGTAATTAGCATTTACTGAGTACCTACTGTGTACATCTCCACAAAAATCAACTCTTTTATCCTTCACACCAAAGCTGAGAATAGGAACCAAGGTGCCAGGAGGAGCTTCCCAAATATCACCTTCTGATTGGTCAATATCATAATGCTTCCAAAACTCCCTCCTGAATCAGTAGGAAATCTTTCCAAATAGAATCAGTACGCAAGGCTGTGTGGTTTGTACCTTAATCTACCCAGATGTTTAACTGCTACAGAAACATTAACTAGTTCATTCTTTAGGAGTCCATGGAAAGCCAGATGTGGTGGTATATGCCTATAATCCCAGTGGCTTAGGAGGCTGAGGCAGGAGGACTGCAAGTTGGAGGCCAGCCCCAGCAACTTACAGAGGCCCTAAGCAACTTAGGGAGACCCTGTCTCAAAATTTAAAAATAAATAAAAAGGGTTGAGTATGTGGCTCAGTGATTAAGTGCCCCTGGGTTCAATTCCCAGTACAGTAAATAAATAAATAGATAAAGCCAGAGTCCCTGGAAAATATGTAACTAAGGATAATAGAGTTCTCTTTCTAGAGAGAACATGAAAATGCCTTCCTCTCCCCAGCCCAGGCTAAGAGATTCGGCTTACTTCTTCTCCCTAATTCCCTTTTCCCAAATGGATATATAGATGGTTCCTGATTTAGAATAGTTTGGTTTAGGATTTTTCAACTTAACAATGATGGTAAAGTGATACTCATTCAGTATTTTGAAATTTTTTTTGTATAGCAAAGTCTTTACTTTTAAATGATTATCAGTACTCCAAATGATAACATGTAACAAGTCCTTGAATCCTCTTATCTAGTAATTTTGATTAAAATAAACTAACAGTAGCCCTAACAAGTATGTTAGTATTTGTTGTTCAAACCCTTAGTCAGAATGGATGAATTTAAGGCTGCTGATGCTTCAGATAAATTACAAATAACTATTTACTACTTGTTCATAGATAAAGCCCCGACCTTCAAGAAAGTATAAGGGGAAAATATTTAATCCTTTTCTTTCTGTAAATAATTGTTTTTCCCTACTAAATCTAAGAAAGAAAAGCTCAACATTGATACATCCATTGCTTGAGCTGAAGGCATAGGAAAACAGACAACACATACTTATTAAATTTCTAAGAAGGATGAAGTAAAAAGATAACACCTTTGGATAAGGACTAAGGCTATACAAAGAAGCTAGATTTGCTATTCTCCAAAAGGGACCTTTTATCTCACAGAGAAATAATTTCATGCCTTTTGTAAGAATAGAACTCAAGTTCTGCTGAAGCTTCATATTCTTCATGTTCTGAAGTGCCTATCTAGGAAACGGGCTTCTTTTTCCTCCTATCCATTTAAATGGTAGTTTTCATGGATTTCGGTTGCATGTTGCAGACAAAGGCCAAGAGATTATTCAAGACTGCATCCCCCTGTTCTGCTGGAAGCAGGTCTGTGGGGTAGTCATTTTTTCCTGGGTCTCATTCTCACTTCAGAGCTGCCACAGGATGTCAGTGCTACAGCTTCCTTGACATTGAACTCTTTCTCCCTCTGTTCAGTTTCAGCCTGAGAGGCTGCTTTGGCCTGCTTCAGCTTCTGGTTCTTTCACTTGTGGGCTTTGGACATCTTCTCTGCAGCCTGCTTTTTGCTGGATCCCCTGTGACTGACTGGTCATGGCTGTGCGACTCAGAGGCCCAGCCTAACTCTATGCGATGGCCCACAGTATTTTGAATGTCCATCTTTTGCTAAACTAATGATATTGGGTTGTAACAATCTCTTATGATGCTGGGCAGAGGCATCTGCCTGCAGTCCCCAGTCGGACACATGAGGAGAGTGAACAAGCCATACTCCATAGGATTCAGTGCTAAGATGATATGAGAGGCAGGTTTCATTTACCATATTTTTTATTTAGGCTATTTTGGCTGACTCTCCACAGTAGGTCTGGGAGCCCCTATAAATGCCAATTAAGTTTATAGACTTAAAAGTCACTTGTTCGGATTAGAGGRTAGTTGTAGGTGTATTCTTGAACTGTTTGAATTTTTGCAATGGAAACCTGTATACTTTTATTTAGTAAGGAGAATATTTAAATAGCAACTTGAAGAGTGCCTCCTTTGCCCTGTTTGGCAGTGGGAAGAGGCTCCTTACTCTGGGAAGGGGGAAAAAGAAATGGAGGCAAAGAGAAAGAGAAAAAGGGAGGGAAATAAAAATCAATGAATTCCAGATTGATTTCATGACCCAGCTTGAGAGGAGCTCTGGTAACTGATTTTGGTTTTAAAATGTCCTTCTATGGACCCAAAGGAATAGGCAATTGGCTGCCTGGGTAATGAATCCATCCAGCAGGGTTACTGTGATGTTGTGGGAGCCTTAATTTCATGGCCTTTTCCTATACTTCCCTCTCCTTGGGAGGGGCTCCAGGCACGTGTCCCATGCCTGTGTGTATAAGCTTCCCACCACACAAAACCCGGATACAGCCCTGCAGCTCCTGCAGATCAAGAGAATAATGTGCCCATAGCCATATCTTGATAAGTCTCAGGTTTCCCCAGTCATGGAACCTTCCTGTGTGTGTGTGTGTGTGTGTGTGTGTGTGTGTGTGTGTGTGTTTTAATTCCTCTTTGTAATATGCAAGGGTTTAACCTGATTTGTGTTTCATTTGTACAGATGAAATTATGCAACAGGAAGTCAGACCTTTGGTGGCAGTGGACATAATAGAACAGCTTCACCGGCAATTTGCCATTCTTTCAGGTAAGGGGCAAATTCATTTGCACGTTTTGTTGGGATTCCTATAGGAAGAGCCCAGTCTCTGGAACCCTGATGAATGTTAGGCTTGTGTTTCACTCACCCCTAAAGCCTCAGCCAGGACTGGAATGTAGTGAGGATATCCTGCTGGCCATAGCCAGGAGCTCATGGAAGTGGTTGTCTTTTCTGTTGGGGACAATCTTGATCTTTCCCAAGGGAGTTTATGCCTTGAGATTGTAAAGAACAGAGTTGGAAAGATCTTGAAGAAGAACAAAGAAATAACTGCTGGATCAGCCACCAGGGTGAATTCTCCCATTGTCCTATTGATGTTCTCCCAGGAGTCAACCTGGGGAGTCTTGCTGAAAGGACTCATGAGCAYTGTTGAGGTTATTTGTTCTCTGAGACATTTGTCTTTTATTCTCATCTCTTCTAAGGAGATTTCCATCCAGCGTTAGATTGGAATTAAAGAGGATATAGTCTAGTAAGAGACTAGAAATTTCCTGAGCTCATCCACAATCCTGGGAAAGTTATTATCACTTGAGAACATTCTTTTTCATTCATTTAGTTGAGGTTGACATCACTTCAATTCCTGAAACTAGGGATGACACCAAATTATTATAAATAAATTATAGTAAAACCAAACTCGAAAACCTACAATAGTGAGATGAGGCCCTTGACTCCCACACAGAGGAATAGGGTGGCCGGTCACTCTTGAGCTTTTACACCTGTTCTGGAAAAAGCAAAAAATAAACCTAAAACCATCTTAGTTACATCATGGAGAGAATGTGCAGTCGGTATCAATCTTACTCCATGACTGGGAATATGAGGAAGTCACATTATTTTCCCTTTCTCAGATCATATTTAATCTGCTTCAAAGCCTCAGCCCACTAATATGAAGAAAATGTAATTTCACTTATTGGGATACTTCTTTCCATTCCAGCATTACATCCTGGGTGGGAATATTGTATACAATCTAGAACATTGCCCAATCTTTGATCAAGTGAAAACTCCATTAATGCAGGGTCTTCATTTTTTCTTGTTTCTGTATTGCCAGACTTTAGAACAGAGAATGAAACATAAAAGATGCTCAGTACAAAATTATCTAAGTCCTCTGGTTTACCCTGGAAGGTTAGTGGACTCACTGCTCCTCAATGCCCAGCTTAGGACCTAGCAATGGCCCTGGGAAGCACCTAACCAGCCCCCTGAAGGTGCTATCTCTCAGCTTCCTGTGGCGAGTCCAGGCTGTGCAAGACAAAAGGCAAGATGGAAACTGTCTTCTGGGTTCCTAGAAACTGGAGCTGTGACCCTGCAACACAGAAGGCCCCAGGGCCCACCTGCATCAGGGTCTGCAGGGATGGTGGGGAGCAGCTGGGGTGGATTCCTATAGCCTTGGACCGGAAACTCTGTTGGCACAATATATGATTCTGACATTTATCATTACACCATGGCTCATCTCAGACAGGAGTCCAGTGACTGATTAATTTATAATTTTTTTTAGAAAGAGAGAATTTTCTAATATTTATTTTTCAGTTTTTGGTGGACACAACATCTTTATTTTATTTTTATGTGGTGCATGAGGATTGAACCCAGCGCCCCGCGCATGCCAGGCAAGCGAGTTCCGCTTGAGCCACATCCCCAGCCCCATTAATTTATAATTTAATGGTTCATTTTTATCCCTTTTGAGTATTACTAAAGCATTTTAAAAAATTCTTCTTTTTATTTTTATTTTCTTTTAGTTGTAGAGAGACACATAACCTTTATTTTAATAATTTATTTTTATGTGGTGCTGAGGATCAAACCCAGTGCCTCACACATGAGAAGCAAGCGCTCTCCCTCTGAGCTACAGCCCCAGGCCTTCATTCTTATTTCTTAGAGGCAGTGTGAGAAAAACAGACACCATATAGCTCTATATAAGGATTTGGATTCTGCTGCTAACTAGCAGTGTCACTTTACTTTTTGAAGTTTCAGTTTTCTCATTTGTACAGTGGGGTCATCATAAATTTTAAGATTAAATGACACAATGCATGACAGATACATAGTGCTGTAACTGCCAGATAAATGTTCATCTTTTTCTCCACTTATTTTATTTGTTCTTTTTAGTTATACATGACAATGGAATGTATTTTGACATATCATTTATATATGGAGTATAAAGTCCCGTTCTTGTGGTTGTACATGATGTGGAGTTACACAGGTCATGTATTCATATATGAACATAGGAAAGTTATGTCCGATTCATGCTACCATCTTTCCTATTCCTTCCCCCGATTCCGTTCATTCCCCTTTGTCTAATCTAATGAACTTCTCTTCTCCCCTGTCCCTTGTTGTGTGTTAGCATCCACATATCAGAGAGAATATTTGGCCTGTGGTTCTTTGGCTTATTACACTTTGCATGATAGTTTCCAGTTCCATCTGTTTACCAGCAAGTGCCATAATTTCATTTTTATTTATAKCTGAGTAATATTCCATGGTGTATATATGTCACATTTTCTTTATCCATTCATCTGTTGAAGGGCACCTAGGTTGGTTCCATGACTTAGCTATTGTGAATTGAGCTGCTATAAACATTGCTGTGGCTGCATCTAGATACATTTTAAATTCCCATAAAATATTTATCCTGGGGTTGTGTCACCAAAGCTAGTTTTCAGTATGATAGAGTTTTTACAAGGAATCAAAATCATGGTCACAGTGAATATGTGTAGAATGCCACTGTTAAGTCAGGAATAAAGATAATTGTCACTCCTGAATGTGGAAACAGAACTGTGAAAACACACTGGACCAAGAGCCACCTTTCCTTTAGGAAAGGCACTTGACCATGGCAAAGATAACCCTTCATTTCTGAGTCTCTTTTGTTCATCAAGTTTGCCCCTCTGGTGAGAGAGAAGTGTGGATTTGTTGTGAAAGCACTTGCAAGATGGCAGGTTCTCAGACTACCAGCCCTGAGTTAGCTCTTTGGAATCAGAGGCTAGCTCTTCAGTCTACCCATCCCTCTCGGCCTGGCATCGACAGCAAATGTCAGCAAGGAGGACRCTGTGGGCAGGAAGCAGAGATCTCTGTGATGAGGTCTTTTCCATGGCTGTGGCAGTCCTAAGGCTGCAGCCTCTGCTCAGAGGCACAGCAGTTTTCTTTTCCTGGTTCAGGTAAGCAGAGTGAATATTTTCCAGCTGCAGAATTTTCCAGATTTCACTGAGCTCYGGAAAGAGCCAGAGGTCCCATCAACCAGGAAGGCTGTGGAGTGAGGATGTAGCCTTTTTCTCCATGAGACTCTAGTCAGCTCTTGTTCTGGCTGGTAGGGGAGCAAAGACTCACTGCTGGAAGCCTGACTTGTGGCCAGACTTATGGCCAGATGGTTTCACCATCCAGAGGCTCCTTCCTTTCCTTCACCATGGTTTCTTCTAAGGTTAGAACCACCAGGGACCCCAGCCCCGGGCACCATCCAGCTCATGCATGGCAGACACCCTTCCTGTTCACAGGGAACTTGGGATATATCTAAGTTTGGGGCTTTACTAGGAAACATAAGCAGGTTAGTATGGGACAAACACTCTAGACTTTGGATTGAGACTGTTCTGGATTCACATTCAACTAGTAGGTTATCATTTGTAAAATGGGTTATATTAAAGGAAAGTGCCCAGCATGATATCTGGCTATGAAAGACCTTAGCCCACAGGACTTTAAACTGCATAATATGATATCTGAAGGTACGAATTCCTGGTGTTAGATCATGGTTTAATGATATTAAGGCCATTATCTTTGTGATTCTCTTAATGTTTCCTTGTTTGTTAAATTTTAATCACAAATGGCAGTTGCTGCTTCAGACATCAATGCTATATCCAAAGGAGGAAGAATGAAAAGGAACAATGCTTGCTTTCTTTGTTCCTTTTGTCAGGATAGTAGGAACTCTTCCAGAAGCTTTTGACTAACTTTATGTTATATAGCCATTCCTAGCTGCAAGTGAATCTGAGAAGGCAAGAACTTGGCCTTCTAACTGCCATAATGGTTTGGGAAAGGGGGGCTATGAAAAATTAGCCATTTATCAGTGTCTGCCGTAATGCCTTTCTTTTAATTATGAGGAATTATTCTTTAATATTTCTTTTAATGGCTAGTTCTCCCTTAGAATCGTTGTACCTGAACCCTCCCTTCATAGTTGTTTATGGTTTTTTTGTTTTTGTTTTTGTTTTTGTTTTTTGCAGGGGCGGGGGGTACTGGGGACTAAATCTAGCTATGCTTTACTGTGAGCCATATCCTCAGCCCCTTACCAGCGACCAGCACTGATGAGATGAACTGGGTGTAAAAGAGCTAGCTGCAACATTAAACTAAGAAAATGGCCAAGAAATCATACAACACAGATAAATGAGTTTTACAGATAGAGGGTGGGACTGCTCTGTGACCTCAAGAGTCCTCTTCCATGCTGGAAGGCAAGAGAGTGGGTGCACCCAGAGTCCCTTTATTTATAGGGAAAAGACAACAAAGGATTTTCTATAGAATATTCTGTACCAAATAAGGCAGGGATAAGGTTTCAAGGGGGTTGCCCAATCCCATTGGGTAATGCTCAAGTCCAGAGTTGAAGCAAACTTCTTTACTGAGCAAAAGTGAAGGCCACTTGCTTGGCACAGCACATGGTATGTGATGCCAGACCAACACCCCCTTACTCAAGGCTGAGAGGGGATGCTCAGCTCACGGATAGGCAGCTCCCACATCAACCCTTTTTATTTTTTTTAATTTTGAGGCAGTATCTTGCTAAGTTGCTGAGRGCCTCACCAAGTTGCTGAGGCTGACCTTGAATTGTGAACCTCCTGCTTCAGACTCCCATGTTGCTGGCATTACAGGTGTACCTGGCTTTATAGTAGCTTTAATAATGATGAATAATCAAAGCATAAAGCATTCTTAGGCTTGTGGAGTCCCCACTGCCATGTAAAGAGGAAATAAAGGAAAGTAATTATAGCAAATTAGCATGTATTTCAACAATATGTATTTCAAAAGAAGTAATGAGGAAATAGTACTCCTGT